AAAGGAAGTAGCAGCAAAAAAACTAAAGGTATTTAATTTGCATCAAGTCTTATACAATTACCCCATGATAAATTTTAGATTACTGCAAAGGTAACACAGATGGAAATTTTAAAGGTATCACCAATATCTCTTAACCCAGGCCAGTTTCTAATTTTTCTTGAGAGAGAAGTTTTGTACTGATATGCATTAATTCCAAAGTCACTTTCCTAAAGACAAGTGCTTAATTAACATTAAGTTTTCAACCCCAGGGAGAGCCTTTTGTAAAAGGGGAGTAAGAAGCAGTGTTGTTTACTTACCCTTGCAAGAATGCAGAATACTTTAAGTATACTTAGTCTGTACTTCCCAAAAGAAAGTGTAGTTGAAGTATACTTCATTTATACTTAAAGAAGAAAAGTATAAATGAAGTACATTTTGTTAATGTACTTCATTTATACTTAAAATGTAAAAGTATACTTCAAGTATACCTCTTCTTTATTTTAACATAGCTGGTGAGTGACTGTCTAAAGTAAAGTATACTTTAAGTATACTTGTTTGTACGTGTAAAATAAAGAAATAACTAAGTATTAAACAATAAGCAGGAATTGCATTGAATGATTGATACCAGTGTATGATACAGGCAGGGGATTATAAAATATAAATTAAAATACTTTTATACATTCAAAGTACCACTAACAATAAAAATGTTTCATCAGTTCCTACAAAATAACCGGTAGAAAATGTTAGAGCATTAGAAATAACCAAAAAAGTGCTTTATAAAAACAAATTCCACTTGATTCGGCAGTGTAGCAGCTCCTGTTAGCTTGTAATTCTTTTCATTGTTAGCAGCTTTTATTGTTTTGGGGCTAGGGGCATTGCTTCTGTTGTTCATTCTGTTGTCCTCTCAATGCCTCACAAGCCATTCATGTGAGACCTTACAATAGCTGCTACATCGCCCACTTGATTACATCGTATTAACAGTAAAATTAATACTGTTAAAGCAATGTATAACATTACAATTAAAAGTCAGTCACAATACCAAACCCTACATGTAAAGTGATGGTTTTTGCAGCTGCCATTGCATACAACACCATTTGGTTGTAAAAAAGTGTACATTTCCCAAATGTTGACCACTTAATGGCATTAATACTATCAAAATCACTACAGTGGTAAAATGCACACCAGCACTTACAAGACCAGGCATGTTTCTCTTTCAACTGTTACTTAACCCATTGACTCCCGCACCGCCCATAACTGCCTGTGATGAGCCTTGGCCCTTGTTCGACTTCTGATGTCATTGCCTTTGACCAAAATTGACATCATCTATACACAGTGTTTTTGTTAGGGCCGGGACACCGGGACCTTTACTTGGCTATTTTAATTTTTGTCCCCGCTATTTTCACGCTCAATTTGTACTAAAACTCCTGTGGAGACTATGGTCAGCCGACAATTTTAACTTTGAACGTAAATTACGGTAAAATAAATAAAATTTTGTATTATTTCTCTGCTGTTGGGTATGTTTCTTTGTGATAAATTTTGTGCACATGCAGCTAATTTGGAGTTCATGACTTGAGACATTATGAAACAAAACAAACGCATTTATCGGCACTACACGGTTTCTCATGGTCTTGCGACAGACAACGGCAATAAATTCAGCTTGTTCCATCGCTACAATTCAGTCTAGCATTTGCTCTCGAGAGAAAACAGTCAAACAGCAATTCTCATCTTTGTGACAACGTTACGTGACATATCTACTTTGGCGGCCTTGCACAGTACCAAATGAAGCGGAAAATTAATCAGTACTTCACTCTATGGGCGGCCGTCACCACCAAAATACAAGGATGTCAAATAGATCAGCAAATACAAAGATGGTGTAAGGATCAGCTGCAGGATAGCATAGCTAATAAAGGAATGGCATAGCCAAATTATAGACAGTCTAGTTTTCCTTCATGAAACAGAAAACCCTAAACATGAATAGTTTAGCCAAACGAGAAACGGTCTTAAGTAGCCCATGTTGAGTTGGATCATGAGATTGTGAAATGGACTAGCTCAATAACGAATAGTTTAGCACTCATGTGCAATACAGTACTCAAACGGTGTAGCGTTGAGTTAAACGGCTCAGGGTAACGTCGAGTAGCACAGCGCACGCATAAATGGTGTAGCGTTGCGTCAAATGGCTCAGCTTAATGTAGAATGGTACAGCGTACACACATATGGTGTAGCGCTGCGGGAAATGGCTCAGTGTAATGTTGAATGGTACAGCGTACATAAAAACAGTGTAGCGTTGTGTGAAGTGGCTCAGCGTAATGTCGAATGGTACAGCGTACATGCAAACAGTGTAGCGTTGCGTGAAATGGCTTAGCGTAATGTCGAATGGTACAGTGTACATACAAACAGAGTAGCGTTGGGTGAAGTGGCTTAGCATAATGTCGAATGGTCGCCAAGGCATCTCGCCGAAACCACCAAAAATACAAACCGTAAATGGAACAGCGATCTGCTGGGGGCATGACGTCATCGAATGTGAAGAGTGACACGAAACCATTACATGGCTTAGTATAGTCTTCACTTCGCTTTGCCGTAAAGCAGAGCCAATTCGGTAAGTTTCTCCTCTTTCTTCACTGCTGATATTGAACTTATTCGTTGTCGTTCATGAAAGCGTCGTTCATTAAAATAGCAACGAGACTGAATTCAACCGCGGTTTGCCGGCCTCCCGGTTTACCACAGTTTGCACGCGTTGGTGGGCCTGAACATGTTTATAGTATTAAGAAGTGTTATGACATGCATTAAATGTCAATTGTCGAGCTCTCTTCTCTTTCTCCGACTCACGCTTACTTTTTAATGAGAGTCCAACTTCAACGGCTCTTTAAACATTGCAGGAGTACGTGGGAAATTGAATATTGTGTGGACGCCATGGTAATTTAACTATTAAACTCAACTATTATTAAAATGTGCATTAAATGTCTATTGCCGAGCTCTTATTTCTTTTCTTTTCTGACTCGCGCTTACTTTTCAAAGGGAGTTTAACTTCAAGCCTAGTGTGCCCGATATCAATGCTACGCGCGATATGATCAATGATCTATTCTCAGCAGACGAAGTTGTGCACAGTTTTTACCACTGCACTGAAACTACGTGCAACTACCAGAAGGAGAAAGGAAAGAAAAAATTTGACCATACATGGATCTTTCGACGCGATTTAACTTACGATGCAACAACAGGGCTGTGGTGGTTACTTTTCATTAAAGAGAAGGGTATGTACTATCTACTCTGCAGACTTCACCAGGCAAAGGGCAAGCACAATAAGAGTGCATCATATGGAATGGAACCCGCTGTACGTTTCCAGACCTCAGCACTTGTGGAGCACTGCAGTGGACAGAAACATCAAGATTCCATTGCAGCAGAAATGTTAAAGAGGACCTCGATTTTTCAAGAAAAACTTGACGAGCGTAACCTCCACAGGCATGAAATTCTGTATAGCGCTTTCATGTCATTGTACTGGCAGGTTCAGCATGGCATTGCCTACCGAAACTTCCCCTCCATGTTGAAGATGATGCGGACAAGCTGGAGCATTTCCAACATGAATCATTGTGGTCAGTAAGAGGAATCCTCACGACGATGGGCAGGGTAATAAAGGAAAAGATCACAAAAGCTGCTAATGAAGCGAAGTGTTATGGCCTCATGGTAGACAATGTGACTGACATTCAAGTGAAAGAACAAAACATCATTTTCATTCGGTATGTGGAAAATGCAAATGTGCAAATCCGCTTTTTAGCTGTCAAAGATCTTATGGAGGATGCTGCGTCACCGAACGCCAAAACCATCACTGACAGCATTAAAGAAAAACTGGCTAAGGATGACCTTGACATTCAAAAATTCCTGAGTTTGGCGTCTTATGGAGCTTCAGTAATGGTTGGCAAGAATGATGGCATAGCAGCACTGCTCAAAAGGGAGAACCCAAGACTGGTCAACGTTCACTGTATCTGCCACAGACTGGCATTAGCTTGTGGGGACTCCAACAACGAGGTGGAGTACATGCTAACCATAGAATGCCTACTGGTTCAGCTGTACAAGTGGCTCGAAAACTCCTGTGTGAAGATGGCAGCGTATCTTAAGATGCAATTAAGACTCCGAGACATGCAGCTTCCCACTGACAAGTTGAAACGACACAAAATTGGTCACAAACTCCAACGGGCTTGCAGAAAACGGTGGCTGTCCACAGACAAAGCAGTGCTGGGGGTTTGGCAGGACTACACTGCAATTCTTTTAACACTCGGTGCTGATGAGTTCTGAAATGATGCAACTGCTATTGGTCTACGCTCCCAGATGAAGACCGTGAAATTCATAGGTAAAAAATGAGAAAGGCCTGTGTATGTACTTAGAAGACTTTGTTAAAGTCTGATATTTTTATTGACAAGTCTAGTGAACAAATGATTTAACGGCATTATGTTTCTTCTTTTTTCTGTAGGGAGTATTTATATCCTGAAGATG